AATGATCTTAGATATGCCTCAGTGCCTTAGGTACCATGCAATTGGGTATTGCTGAGGTGCGAGAGGGCTAGCACCACCTATACAGAGGAATGGGGGTGGGGGACAAAACTCTTGCTACTCCCTACGTTCTGTGTTAAAAAAGAAGAGGAAAAGTTGGCAGCGACTACATGAAATTTATAGATTAGACACAAAAACCTCTGTCCAAAGTGGAGGGTAAAGGGGGGAAGGAGAATTATGCTCCGTGGGCTTTTACAAATATGTCAGGTCAACTTTGAAAAGCATTTCAATAGAGTAGAGGGCTATACAACTTCCTTTTAACAGGAAATGTGCAATCCTCCCTCCTTTACTTTATTCACATCACAATGCATCCCCTCGCTTACCTACGGTTTTATTGTACTAAAAATCTTTCCTGTATTATTGACTTCTTAGGATTTTGCCTGATTTTTTTTTTCTCAGAAGCTGTACTAATGGATTAAGATTTTGCTTATAGATTGAGACCATTTGCTCTTTACATAGGACACCACACCCTCCCTGCCATGTCAGTTTCTTACTCAACTCCCAGAAAGAAAGCTTGATGTCTGCATCTTGCATTTTCACTTGCTGGAAGGTCAAAGTGGTCACATTTGCTCTAGATGGAAACCACATCATGTATAATGTCATTTACTGTAGATGGATTCATATCTTTTGGGTAATTGATAATGCTGAAAAACAAATTAAGCAGAATAGCTTAAAGGTATGGAAATTATGTCAGCTCTAAAAAAGAATGATTCTGCTTTGAAGCAAATCACTGAATATTTTAGGGCCTCATTTTGTTAATATGTAAAGTAGAGTAAATCCCAGACTAATTAAATCAGAAACCCAAGGGATTAAAACTAAAACATGGACTTTTAAGAATTTGATAAATCTCCCACATTATTTTACATAAAGTCTGAAAACCACAGCCTTGATAGTATAATTGTGGGAAAAAAAATCAGTGTGAACTCAATTGGAATGTACAGCATTTTATAAAGTTTAGCATTTCTTTGCTTTGGGTGTCTCCAGTATGCTTAGGATTCCTAATAGAAAGAGTAACCTAGTTAGGGAACAAAAATATGTCAAAAGTGTACACAATAAACATCCCACCCCCCCAACACACACACAGAAAACACACACACACACACACACACACACACACACAAGAGATAAAAAAAAAAAAAAAAAAAGAGAACACAGCCAAAAAAAAGAACAGAGACGCCACACCCCAAAAAGAGAAGATCAAAAAAAGAGAAAAAAAAAAGTGGGAGAATTGCCTTCAGAAACATCCCCCCCCAACACACACACAGAAAAAAAAACACACACACACATACACACACACACACACACAGAGAATAGATTTAACTAAGAAAATAATAATAGATTACATGGCCAAAGAATAGCAGTTAGGCTCCACTTCCTAAAGAGATGATCTGAGGAAGCTAGAATAAGAAGTGGGAGAATTGCCTTCTCTGTGGGAGAGTTGGGCTTAGGAGAGAGAGACTGTCAAGGAAAGTAGAAGACAAAAGAGGTGCCTCCAGGAGGGACGCTGTACGAAGTCCTTTGAGGTAATCACCACACTCATCTCTCTAGGCCTTAACGACAAGCACCTATAGGTCAGATTGTGCTTATTCCATTTAGAATTTTCTGGAGAGATGGAGTAGTTAGCCACATCAGTTATTCCACAGTGAGAGTGATGTAGCACAGCCAGCATCTGCTCGTCATGTGGATCTGTCTCATTCAGACGGAACTGCCGCAGGAATTGCATCTCCTCTTCCTGGGTAAGGAGTGGCAACTCTTTTCTGGCCAGGGAAAACCAGTGGAAATAGTCCTGAGTGAGAAACAGAGAAGGGATGATTATTTAGAGACAATTAGGGCAGACTCATAGTATCAGTGCCCTAGTGCAGAGCCTCATTTGAGGGCTCGGAAGAACAGTGCTTTGACTATCTGGCCTTCAAAAACCTCCTGTTCTCAGTTGAATGATGACTACTGTCCCTGATTCTCCTGTCACTGGGGAGATAATTTTAAGCACAAGTGATCAAAGTGACCTAGATAACCTGTTAAAAATTCTCTAAAAAATAAAACACCCAAGTTTCAGGATAGAAAAGCCCAAGAATAAAGCTTATCAAGATATGAGCTGGGAATTGCCCAGGTAGATGGTCTCTGTTTTTTCTGATTGATTGAGGTTTTCATAGTCAAGACAAAATCCATGACTCCTAGGACACAGAATTTCACTAGTTGTGCATGCCCAGTCCATTTGCATTTGTACATGGCATTTAATTAAAATGCTTTTTAAAAATTCACTTATCACCTATTCCCTTTTCACTGACTTTTTTACCAGTCCAGTGTACTGAATTTTAACTTTCAGGAAAAAAAAAACAAAAAAAAAACAACATAGCATCTTGCATTAGAGTCAGGTTTTTGTTTATATTTGAAACGTAGCTGGACTGAAAGTATTGTAAGGGTGATGTTTATGTTTAATACAACTTGGTCTACACAACAGTTCTTAGGATAGTACTTGGTATAAATTCATGAGTGATTTTTGCATTTCGTATAAAACCACATTTTTATGCTTTTATTTTATTGTAACTTTGGCTGAGCACTCGGAGACACCTGATTTACTACATTTTTTGCTGGGCTAAGTATTAGCAGAAAATTTTACCAGGTCCCCAAACTGTGACAAAACACATGACTATAATCATTTATAAGGAATTTTAGGTATTTGGGGTGCTTAAAAGGTATGGAACATTTTCTTGGGAAATTTGAAGGTATGTGGTAGACAGTTTGAGAGATTTCTGTTGAGAGGAAGGACATTATTAGTTCATTAGTTCTCTTGATCCCTTACCACCTAACAGACTCAGAAATCCAGACACCTGCATGTTCACTCCGTATCTCATAGAAGGCTAAGAGTGTGACAGGTGAACATTGGGGCTGAATTATTCATTAGGCACAATAAGCACAAAACTTTTGGGGGGAGGGGTGTTCAAAATGATTTAATTACTTTTAAAATCAGAAGAAAAATTGAACTTAGAGATTGAAGAACATGATTTAATATGTAATATTAATAATTTATCTTTATACCATGCAGCAATGTGTATGCATATAATATATATGGAAAAAGAGCCCAGAGTCATAATGTGATAACGTGGTCTTGATTAGCACACCTACCTTAACAAAGTCCAGTCCTTCATGGTCTGTAGCATGGGGCACCGGGAAGGTCAGGCACCAAGGCAGGAAAATAGTAGCTTTTAAGACAGACTGCATGGCAAATGCTCATTTCTTCCCCTGCCTGAATTCATGTACCTAACATAGATCATGGGGCCTTTATAGTTATGCCAGCAACATTCAGCGACTCATGCTGCTTGTTTGTCCTTTCTTTGCACTGGTTACTGTCGACATCACCCATTTGGGGTTGAAGGCAGAATGGTCAGCTTACCGGCGTGATGACAGCAGGCATGGGATTTATTTATTTTCACGTTCATTTCACACCTGATGGCCCTTAGGATACTTGGCCATAGCCTTGGTTAAGGAAGTACTGGTATTTCTCAGGTTATAGGAAACAGTATTATTAAAAAGTGGAGAAAAAATAACAAGAACAAAACATAAAAATGATTTATTACAGGTTTACCTATATAATAATTTATTTACTAGTCACGGACAAGTACTATCTTGCTTCAAAAGCTAGAGAGAAGAGAGAATGAAATTGAGGATGGGATTAACATGCACTACAGTGAAGGTCCAGAGCAGGATATGAAAAATCTCTGAGACCCATATAAGGAAGATAAAGGGACACACAGAAAAAGGAAGTTACTACTAAAGGTATGTTTGAGAAAATATCGTTGATAATAAGTTGAGATAGAGATATGCATATATAGCACAAGATCTCAACTGATAACCTTTGAAATCACACAGATATGGATATGAATATTAACTCTGCTATGTAAAAGCTGATCTTTTACATAGTTATTTACTACTATTAAGCTTCTATCTTTTTATCTGTAAATTAAGGAAACTAATAATATTCATATACTATGATAGTAGCAGATATGGAACCTGAGCACTGGGCCTGGTACACAGTAAATCACAAGTGACAAGGGGTGCTTTATATTTATTATTACATTCACATAGACACAAAGATTAAAGCAGAAATAAAGACTTTGAGAATCTAAGAGAGAATGAATTAAACATCAGTTTTTATTGAGCACTTTCTAAATATCCAGACCTCTCCACTGAGGAAGACACCTTGATTAGATGTGGCTCCATTTCTTGCCCTCCAGGAGTCACCCTCTGTCAACAACAGGAACACCTGCTACACTAGTACTCAGAGAACAGTTTGCCAAGGCACCGTGCCTCTCCCTCCTATTTCTGCCTGTTCCTCTAGATAAATCAAATGGGATAAAGTGTCTCTGTGAAGAGACTGGAAATAGTATAAAGAATGGATGGGGCAAGAAGGGGTGTTCACTACTTCTGACTCACCCCCAAACCTCCAATTCCCACCTCCACCTCAATTCCCTCCCAGCAATTGATTATAATCAATTTTTTCTTCTTCAAGGGTGCATATTCCATAAGCATGGTACCATCCAATCATATCGGGCCTGCAAGCACAGCCTCAATAAGTCAAATTGGTTTGCCTTCTCTGAAGCTTTGAAAATCCACCATGCCCATCTAGGGTAATGCGATTTCTATCAGTGATTCCTATGGAGATTTGTAGCCTTCTGCTCTTTATCTCCATCCTATAATTATATTTCTATGAAGTTCTTGAAAAGACAAAGCTAATTTACAAAAAGTAACCATAACAATGATTTCTTTTGTTGCAGAGGGGAGAGAATTGATGGTTAAAGTGTACCAGGGAAATTTCTCAGGTAATGAGATCTTCAATTTCTTGACTAGAGTTTGGATAATAAAGATGGATTCATTTTTAAAAACTCATTAAACTGTAGGCTTAGTATCTGTACATTTTACCATATGTTAATTATTCCTCTGTAAAAATAAATAAAATTTAAATAAATAAAAGAATTTTGATCACAACAAGGTATCAAATGTTATACCCATTCCACCATGAGGAATATAGTGGTAATTCCACTATATTAAGTGGTAATATATGTGATTGAATGGGCATATACATAATAATGTGATCAGCATTATTTTATTTTATTTTTTTTAGGTCAGGCAACCTTTGGTTGACCTCATAGAATGCAAGGACCTTGTCGTCTTACAATCTCTTATTTTTTAATTTTTTTATGACTACAGCACCTGGTCTTTCTAGGTGGTCTCCCATCCAAGTACTAACCAGTCCCAACCCTGCTTAGCTTCCGAGATCAGACAGGATCAGGCTTGTTCAGGGTAGCATGGCTGTAGACAGTCAGTGTTATTTTAATGTGAAAGTGTTGTAAACTAGCTCATGTTCTAAAAGAAGGAAATTATATTTTAAAGATATAGGTAAATAATGGACAATCAACCATACGAATTAATAAGACCAAAAGTATTTGCGATAAACTTGGAAAAGAGAATAAATCTGAAAAAGGCAAGGTAAAATAAATAGGCTGTGGAACTAGAAATGTTTATTGTTAGGTAGGCATGGTATAAAGAAAGTTTATTCCTTATAGCCTATTTCAACTTCATAAAATGTGAATTTGTTCACAGTGTCATAGGTCTTATTTCATTTTCACTTCAAAGATAAATATGCTCAGGCTTAGGAAATATACAAACCTTTTCATGGAGATGGTAAAAATGTTAAGATTTGTATCTATATTTGTTTTGCTCTAAAGGGGATTTTATTAAATGAAACATACTGCATATCTTTACTGGCAGATATCCACCATTATACCATCAACATATCCTTGATGTTCCTTTAACCTGAATAAATTCACAAACTATGGGGCCAAAGTTTAGTGGAGTCATAATAAAAGAAACAATGCTTAGAATAAAAGAAACAAAATAAACAAAACTTTATCCAAAGTTACTAAACATTATTCAAAACCCATTGCAACATTGAAAAAAAAAATGTAAAAACCTTCTTTTTGAATCTATTATATCTCCTTAGGTGCTCTGAAACATCTCACTTTCTCGGCCCCTCATACTCGAAAATCCCCAAAATACTCCTGCAGTCTTTCCTTGTGAGTTCTTTTCTCCATTCTTAGTTTCTTCATTACTCTCCTGCCTATCAGAAATGGCGAATTAGAGTTCAGCTTCCTCCATCTAGGCTAGATATGTCTAGGTTGGTTAGAAGTCAAGTTCATTCTGTCCCCTTGGAGGGTCATGATCAGAGTCTCCTGTAAAGAGTAGTTCTTCAATTACTCTGACTTGTTCTTGAAATTCTTGTTCAGAATTGTTAATAATTGAAATTTCTTTATGTTTACAGGCCTATGAACTATACTGTAGACTTATTTAGGACAAGGATTTCTTTAATTTAGCACAGTCTTTGGAACCTAGAAGATAGTTATTATTTATTAAATGAATAAAGTATTCAGTAAAAGAGTCTCATAGTTAATAATGAAAATAAAAATGAGTTGTTTGTATCTATTTTGCTGGTGGTAAACATGAGCATATAACTCAGATCTCTCAACCTAGGGCAAATGATAACTATAATAATGTATTGAGCACATACACTGTGTCAAAAATGAACTGTTTTACTGATACAATTCTCTGTGAAGTAGGAGTTTTATTATTTTCATCTTATAGTTAAGGAAATAAAGCTTTGACATCTTTTGATCATCATTTGGACAGTCACAATGCTCATAGTAGTTTATAGACATTATAAACAAAGAGTGTTTTACACTGAAGGCAGAACTTTTAATGACTGAACTAAACTTTCAGTTTCAAAGAGATTGTGCCATCTCTCATGGTGCCACATGTCATTGTGATGCTGTTTCTGGTGCTTCTCATGTGCACCACACGATTGTATAGGGAGATTTGGAGAAGCAGTCACCTGTAAGACTGATCCCATAATCAAGTAAATAAGTGCTGGGTACTGAGACCTATGTTACCTAAATAAATAAATGACTTATTAATGATTCAGCTACAGATAAAGATACTTGAAGTATAGCAGTGTTTCTCAAATGTCATGTACATAGAATCATCTGTATTGTTAAAATACGGATTCTAATTCAACTGATCTTATACGGGCTTAATATTTTGAGTTTCTAAAAGCTTCTAGGTAATGTCAATGCTGCTGGTCTAAGGATCACACCACTTTTGATCACTTATGAGGTAGGGGGTGTTGAGAATGTAAGGAGTGTAGAAGCTATGAATTCAAGCTATGAATTCAACCAGAAAGTTTTGAGAACAGACACTAGATTTTAAATTTTAAAAATCAGGAGCTATGAGAAACAGGAACTCATCTCTCCACTCACTCTTGTACTTTCTTCTTTGCTCTATACTCTTTCATGATATTAATAGCATCTAATGCCTGAGGGCTAAGAAATTTAGCTTGTGCCCAAGATTTTGCCCAGCAGAGTATGGATTATTTTTCGACTTCTCTGGGTAAGCTATCTTGACAGCAGGAGAAAAAGTCATTTCAAAACTACAGGAATTCATGATCTCTATTTCTGCGATTGAGGTAGTGGGGTCGGGAAGGGGAAATTTGAGTGTACATTTTTTAGAGCTAAGAAATTGTTTCCTTTGTCATGACACTGGCAACTATGCTGGAAAAGAGTGACTCAATGTTTAACTTATCTTAATGCAGGAGAAATGATTCTACAACAGAATCTGAGTTTGGACTTACACTGAGAATAGTTACTGATAGAGAGCATTGAAGATAATGGAGATGTGAACAAGGGGACTGGTCAGGCTGCAGAGTCATGAATATACCTGGAGCAATATAAAGCATGAATGTTTAATTATCACCGTGGGGCAGTATATTTTCTCTTCTAAAATTATTCTTCATTTATAACTTGTTTTTTCCTTCCAGAAAATGCCATGTCATTTGTGATGCAAAGGTTATTAAGAAAGAAAGAGCTTGCCTTACATTTGTTTACCATCTCATAAAATGACCTGTAAATTAAACATAGGAGACAATGATAAGAAGTTAGACTAGTGACTAACTGAATTGAGATTTAAACCTACCTGGGTTGGTCAGAGGAAGTAAATAGAGCAAATGTAATAACCTGGATCTTATATTTAAAAATTGTTGTAGGAACTCAGAGAACTTAGGTCACGACATTTGTTTAGAGTATAGGTTTGTATTGCGCAATCAAAAACTATAAAATGGTTGAATGTGTAAAAAACCAGACACAACTATATTCTGTCTATAAGAGACACACTTT